CTCGAACCAGCTAATTCCGCCGCCGTTATATGTCCGTTACCGTCATGACCAAACGAACGGAAAACCTCCATTAACTGTTCCTGGTTTATCAGAACCTCTTCATTTAGATCTGGCAATATCGCCACCACGAGCTCGTCGAACTCGACGGATCCGTTACCGTTACGGTCGATTTGGTTAAGGAGAAGAGATGTTTGATTCCGAGTGAACGGAGAAGAGCCGCGAGTTCGAGCAGTGTTAAGCTTCCGTCTCCGTCCATGTGGAATCGAGCGAAGATGTCTTTGAGTTGCTTGATTTGATCGATGGGTTTCTTCAACCGTAGTTAACTATATATCTATATTTTTAAAATTAAAATAGGTAACTATTTTTATAATAATAGTTAACTATGTGTAACTATTAGAGCTACGAACGTACTTAACTATATTTGTTTTAAATAAGTAACTATCACAACAAAAAATTTATGTTGCCAACTATATCATGAAATTAGTAGAATTGATAACTGTGTTTTGAAAATAGTTAGCTATATTTTTAACAATTAAATTAATAACTATTTTCTAAAAAATAGCTAACTATGTTTTAGATAGTTACAAAATAGTGTGAGATAGTTAACTATCTTTTGAGATAACAGAATATGTAGTTTCGAAATAATCAACTATATTTTTTTCTAACCCAATTTTGTTTTCTTTGCAGAGCATGATGCTTTAAAGACAATTTTCCATATGTAGAAATAGTATATTTTTGGGGATTGTTTTTCACATTTATCTTAATTACGGTTTAAATTTACTGATTTTTTAACTACTTTTCATTATAATGTTATTAAGGGCATTTTTGTCCAATAAGATCAACAATTTGCTACTCACCTAATTTATATTTCCAACATGTTACTCACCTAATTACATGTCCAAAACATAATCTTCACCTAATTAACCCATGAATATATGTATTTTGTAATGTTCTAATCATAAGGCAAAATTTAGTATTACAGTTTTTTCAAAAACTGTTTTAGGCAAGTTTATACATATTTTAATGTGTTTGGCAATTATGAGTTGAGCATCATTGAGATGGAAACTAATACACTTCTGTTATGATCATCATTCAAAATTTGCAACGGAGATAAAACTAATACAGCTATGAACTTATGATCATAATTAGGTACACTTCTGTTATGAACATATGAACAAGTACACAACGACAGATAAATGGATTATGATCGGTGGTAATAATCCTCATCCTCTAGTGAAACTCCACCAAACGCAAAGATATATGTTTTCCCCATTAACAATTTTAAAAGCAAATTGCTATCATGATTTGTTGAGTCCATATTAAAACACTGAAAACGAAAAGATAAGATCATAGACAAGATTTCTGGAGACGAAAGTTCCTGCAAAACATTCAGACCATTCCCTTTGAGAATCCATACAGCTTTCACAATGCTCAAGAGGATTCAGTCCCTTAACTAAACTGAACTGCTTCTATTTTCCTCAGAAACGTCCTTTAACACCAAACGCTGAACTATCTACCTGTGATGGTTTCCCCAGTACCATGTCCGATACCATTTCCGCTGTTCCTAGAGCCTTGACCATTTCAAGAAACCGCAAATCATGATCGGTTTTCTAGAGTTAGAATTTGGAGCATAAGAATGAATCTTACTTACCATGGAAAGTCCACCTCCTTCATGACCAGCTGCCAAGTACAGGTTTTGTAATCCGGGCACAGATCCTATCACTGGCTTCCCATCAGGCACTACGATTAGTCAAAAGACAAGTTCAGCTTTTGTGATAATCCCAAAGCCTGGTTTCAAGCGTTTTTGGAGCATTAGAAACAAGAAGCTTACCGTAAGGGCGCAACCCAACTCTCACTTTCCTGTTACGGATGAAATCTTCAAGGGAAATATCTCGTAACTTGGGGAAGAATTCTGCTGCACGCTCCCATATGCAGCGGATGATAGACCCATCAGCTTCAGTGTCGAACCCGACAAACTCACGACTACTCCCTGTTATTACAGATGGCTAAATGAAGGAGCAAGATGATTTTACTGGTTCAAGAGTTTATGAGGTAGACACAAGAAGTGATGAAATTATAGTTTATTTTTTACCGAGAACAAGGTTTCCTGTTGTGTCCATTGTGGCTGTCATGGATATAGATAGCATCCGTTCTTCCTCGACATCCAATCCTGGAGCTGAAGCACTTTGATGATCCACGTAACCAGCCTCCATTATCCCATGATTTAAATGGAATGAATCAAAATTCTCTACCACAAGCAGATGCCCCTGCAAGGAATAAATTTGGATACTGCACTTTAAAAATACCAAAGCATTCCATTTCCAGAGTCCGCATATTCTGGAAGCTCGCAGAAGATCAACTCGAGATATAAAGATATACTTGTTGCTCTTAAACAATAATGTCCTCAAGAACTTGGCTTGTCAGAATTTCTAGACCTCCTGATGACGATACACTTTTGATATAGAAATTTGAAATGCCAACTATCTTGTGCTGGCAGAGAATGACTACGGGTATATCAAATGCAAGAAAAGAATGAGCAATCAGACGAGAGATTTCAACCTTTCTTGGCTTCACAGGAACGTCCACCGAAATTTTGCAGTCTTTAAGCAATTGATGCATCAGAGACCCACTCCAGCAACCAGCAGCTACTATAGTAGCCTTCTTACCATACAAGTTGCGTTTCGAAGTCTGAACACCTGCAACCTCCTTGCTACGCCCATCAGACCTGAATAGAAGATTCTATTAGCATACTAATTAATAAGACTCTAGCAGAAGAACAATTAGTAGTGTGCATTGAAGATTTACAGAGACTTGGATTAACTTATTTAGGAGATTTCCCAGTCATCTTGAGGTGATGACAGAATAGACACATAGGTTTTCTAGTATACAGTTAAGAATATTGATCCCTAGATTAGACTTATTCTCTGGTTCAGAAGAGTTCCGATTCAGCAAAATAAAGATTAGCAACCTTATTAAACCTGTAACTGGTTCATGATAGAACTCCGCATATCTTCCATCTTTTGCAAACTCTCTGTTACCCTGAACAAGTCAAAGAAAAGAGTCAGAGATGAGAGATATTCAACTATCCAGGAAAAATGTAGCCAACCTTTTCGATATAAGCGACGGCACGATGAGCATCCAACTGCGAATCATGGCGAAGAAATGCAGCCCCAGTATGATGATCCACAAGGAGCGCAGGCTCCTTTAGAAACAAATGAGCGCTAGACAAATATTCAGTTCTCAAACCAGCTTCAGAGAGCTCATGAACCTTTTGTCTGAGAGCAACACACTCTTGAGAGGTCCTTCCAACGAGCAGGCTTCCTGCAGATGGCAATAATAAACTGAACTATATCATCTACAAGACTAC